CTACACTTGGATTGGAGTCCACTTGGAGTGACATATCCAATTAATTAGACACAGCTACAAATGCATATCAAAGCAAAAAAACAAGCCATAAATTCCAGAGACCACATTGGGTTGAGGCACAGATTTGGAGATGGCTACAATAATAATAATAAATCTAGATGCAAGCATCAATTAAAGGGCCAAGCACTACAGAAGCAAGCAAGGCAGCAAGCATCAGACCAACTGTAACAATGAGTAACTAAAGCCATTTTAAGGTTATTGTAGTCAAAATGGCTGAAAAATCATAAATACATACACTGGTAATATGATTTAATGGCGTATCACTTTTGACCAATAGGTGGCGCTGTTACCAAATTGATGTGTTGTGGTCAGTGTGAGGTGATAATGGCACATACAAAGTTTGGTGTCAATATGTCAAAGTTTTGCTGAGACACTCATTACAATAGGCTAGCATACTCAAAATTGATTAGTATTTTTTGTAGAGCTGCAATTTTGCTTAACCATCTTTGCAATGTTTCTACACTTGGATTGGAGTCCACTTGGAGTGACATATCCAATTAATTAGACACAGCTACAAATGCATATCAAAGCAAAAAAACAAGCCATAAATTCCAGAGACCACATTGGGTTGAGGCACAGATTTGGAGATGGCTACAATAATAATAATAAATCTAGATGCAAGCATCAATTAAAGGGCCAAGCACTACAGAAGCAAGCAAGGCAGCAAGCATCAGACCAACTGTAACAATGAGTAACTAAAGCCATTTTAAGGTTATTGTAGTCAAAATGGCTGAAAAATCATAAATACATACACTGGTAATATGATTTAATGGCTTATCACTTTTGACCAATAGGTGGCGCTGTTACCAAATTGATGTGTTGTGGTCAGTGTGAGGTGATAATGGCATATACAAAGTTTGGTGTCAATATGTCAAAGTTTTGCTGAGACACTCATTACAATAGGCTAGCATACTCAAAATTGATTAGTATTTTTTGTCAATTTCATTATAACTTTTGACCACAAGGTGGTGCTGCTCCGAAACTTTTTGAGTACCATCAGGGCATGGTGCCAAAGACCCATACCGAGTTTTGTAATGATATGCTAATGCATTTCTAACATTTTACAACAAAATTCGAAATGGCCGACGCCCAAAATAGCTGACATGGGAACATTGGGTATGGTTCGACTCTGCATTCTACACTGAATCTAAAGAGACCAGTTTTTTTTTATTTTTGGCCATACCTTTCAGAAGTTATAATCAAAAATATCCATTAAGGATGTCTACGAAGTATATGTATGCAATTAATATAATGTTAAACATTCCGTATTAACGCCTGTATAGCTGATGTGCGCTAGCTGATGAGCACGCTGAGTGGATTGAGCGGGCGGCGGTGCACATGCACGAGCTTGTCGAGTTAATATCCCTTTCTCACAGACATCACTGGAAAGTTTGAACTAAATCGTAAAAATAAGACCATTTATAGGGGCATTCACTATAAATATAATTTATTTTCAACCTTAGGCATACACGACTTTCTGGCGAAAGTGAATCTAACAGCCTGTGCTAGGCTTGTCCCTCTCATTCTGCACCAGTACAAATACGTGCACGTGTTGCGCATGTTTTGCTTGCTTGAGTGTTTCTGCATTATATGATTGGCTTTGGAATATATTAAGTAATTAAGTGTGAAAATAACCGAAGGATATACAGTCAACCAAAAATTATTCAGAGATCAGATATAATTTTTGAAATTTTTTTACTATGGGTGCAGGACACTATAGTTCATTTATGTAAGTGAGGATAGCAAAATAAAGTAAACTGTGACAAATTATACCCAAAAATTATTCATACAGTGGACTACAAGTAAAACTGATACAAATTTTGGACCAAAAATTAATCAGACCGAGTCTGGGAAAAAATTGAAGTTCAGGTTTGCATAAACCTGGATGACAGCATGCCCAGGAGACTACAGGCTGTCATTAAGGCTAAGGTTTGCTGACTAAGTATTGATAGTTGTGTAAATACTGTCATACTAACAGATGTCTGAATAATTTTTGGTTAATTGTAATCCATTACATACCTTTTTATCAAAGTTATATAACATTATCAAGCTGAATTTGTTTTGACACAGTTTAACTCTGAGTTCTTGTCATATTGTATTACCATGTTCTAAACTATAGCGAATAAACTGTGATAATGTGAGAAATGTTGAAGGTGTCTGAATAAATTTTGGTTTGAATGTATCTATTTGATAAATGAAGTTAATCAACTAACATTATACATGATCTTTTGGTTTCTGTACCCAATATTTAAAAATTTTACAAATGCAATAAAAATATCGGTATCGGTACTCGGTATCAGCAAGTGCCAAAATAAAAGTATCGGTATCGGGTGAGTACTGGAAAAAGGGGTATCGGTGCATCCCTAGTGCTAGAGGGATTGAGTTAGAGACTTCAAACTAACTATGGTGACAGATCAGACTGTCTTCTATCTGTGTGCCAAATTTATGTAACTCGAAGTGGACTCCAATCCAAGTGTAGAAACATTGCAAAGATGGTTAAGCAAAATTTCAAAAAACACATTATTTTCATATATTTTACCTTTATTTTACCTTCAGAAAGTGTTTCCGTTCTTGTCTGTTGAGTTCCTGGTTCTGTGAAGCCTCTCCCTCAAAAATACGCAATGGGCTCAAATTGGTTAGCTGGCCCAGGGTGTTGTGATTCGTTAACCGCCTAGTGCACGTTGTCCGGAAACGACACACCCCATTACCATTACAGGTAGTTGTGTGTTCCCGGGGGCGGGGTTTATGTAAATATTGGGGTTAGTGATGTCACAAACCCAGGAAGTTTTTTTTTTTTTTTTTTTGTCCTTAAACAGTGATTGCTTTAGAAGAAAATATCTCCCTTTGCATTGAACTTTGAGTGTCGTAATTTTGCAGATGTTGTTTATGCTCTAACAGCAACAATACACACTAACTAAAGTTAAAAGTGAAATCATAATCAACCACTTGTTTAAGGGTCTGAATACCAGGGACGTTCCTTTCAAATAAGCTGCACATGCTCTGCATACCCAAGCCATTTGAGAGAATGAGTTTGTGGACTAGTTGAATATAAAACATGATTTTAAATTGATGTCTTGTCATTTGAGATGTAATTAAAGCTTACATAAAAAAATATTGGGAATAAGTATGTAAAATTATTTATTTACCCAGTATTGGCAATTTTCTAATAATGTGCCGTAAGCCTCTGGGCAAACAGATTCACAGCGGCTTTGGTGCCTCAGCTATGACAATCATCAAGATTGTTTCTTGTTCTCATTAGTTTGTCAGCAGCATGCAAGTGATTTCATGCACAAGGTAAGCTTTCATATACAAGGTAAGCTGTCCACTAATCATTCGGCCAAGTGGAAAAATGCACCGCCAGATCTCGATTGCCAAAAATCACATTGTGTCTGATGCAGAACTAACTTGACAAAACGTGGCTGAAAAGTCCACTGAAAATATATCTTCTTACATGTTTCAGCTGCTTAATATGATTAAATTACCTTCCACTGCAAAACCATTTTCACATTTGCTAGTGAGTGTTAATTTCCCATACTGGTTAAGTTTGTTAAGAATGTTGTTACAGGACCAAGAAAAGATAATGATGCATAAACAGATGCTACTTGATAAAATCATGAGTACAAATGTCTCCATCAGCAATGTCCACTTTCAGCAGATGCAGACCCTCTTTCTACTTCTTATATGTATCCAAGTGCAGGACATTGTCTTGAACCTCTTTGTACAAAGGACTCATCCTGCTGAAATCCGCATGCTGGCCTGTATGGTGCTTCTAGAGACCAAGCCATCAATAGCTCTGATCCCAGTAATAAGTGAAGTCCTCTTGGAGGAAATTGACCTGCAGATTGCCAGCTTCTCCTATTCTCTACTCAAGGGCATTTCCAAGTCCCGCACCCCTGATAATCAACATATGTAGGCATGCTCAAATGTGTACTGTGTTCTTCTCCTCTCCTTTCAGAACATCTGAATTGTCCTCATTCCTTTTTTTTCTTCTAAAAATCTCCACTGCCTGTAATATTGCCATAAAGATTCTTACCCCCAAACTTGGCCACCTGAGTTATCGCTACAGCAAGAATGCGCACTTGGACTGGTTCCATGGTGAGTTTACATTAGAAAGAAAATGCTTCTCAGAACATGGGAAAACACCAGAGAATATGGAGCTTTTTATTGATCGTTATTAAGTGTAGCATCTTTTTAATTGCTAGCTTTGTTGTACAACCTTTTAGTGATGCTGGGAATGGTCTGATACTGTTTCTTGTCTCATCAGATGACTTTTTATTTTGGACATCTGCCGACATTTATATGCTGCAAAATGAAAGTCTTGTACCCACAAAACTTATGTTTAAGGGAAAAATTAATTTCATTGGGTGAATATTGCAATTTCTTGAGGTAATCAAACTAAAGCAATAACATGCAGCGTAATATCATGTACTGTACACCATGTTTTTATATCTAATATTTCATATATTTCCAGTTTGGTTTCTGTGCAGATGGACTCAAAGAGCTGTTAGCAGGAAAAATCCCTCAACTCAAAAAAGATTTAGGAATCACCGATTTTGCCACTATAATGACAATTGTGAGCATCTTCAGTCTCAGAAATGAAAATGTATCTAATGAAATGATCTATGAAAATGTATGACTTATGTCAGTCATTAGATTAATGGCTATGCTTTGATCTTTAAAGCTCTCTGACTGGCAGAACCTACCAAAAGACAGACCTCTATTGACAGCATATGCCCGCATGTTCGGACAGGAAGCATTTTTAATGGATGTAAGAGGAGACTCTATTCAGAGCATCATAAAGGTATTCCACCATCTTGTTTTTTAATCATCAGGTGCTAGAGACTTTTTTTGATCTGGTTGATTCTTTATTTACATAGATGCAAATTTATTTCCTGCTCAGTCATTTAGTCCTTCTGCTGGGAAGGAGAGTAAGGTTTGGGGAACGGCAGGCAGCTGTCACTGTTGTTGCATCCTCACCAGAGACCTTTGACATGAGAGTGAAAATTCTAGAGGTTGTTGTCTTAAGAACACATCATATATCTTTTCTAATTCAAATATGTCTTATTGCCTTCCTGCTTTTGTAGGCTGATACAATGCTATTTTGTCCACTTTAGCGAACTATCTACAAAAAGGCAATTCCCTCACCAATCGATCTTGTGGGGTTTGAAGCTGTGAACTTAACCATATCAACCTAACAGGTTAATTTATGAACTATGGATCAGAAAACTGTGCCTGGTCTTGTGTATTTGCGTAAACTCAGTATCTTACTGTTTTTCTCTTTACAGGCTGGTGTTACAGAGCACTTCTGGAAGAACAAACCGGCAACATCGTAAAATGGATCATCAAATGTTCTGAATCATTTGAATATTCCTGACATTTTATTAATGACTGATATGGATATTCAAAGATGTTTGATTAAAAAATATTAATTTTGAATTAAATGTCAAATGAATGAAGTGTGCATCAAGAGTTCAATGTGACAGTTATTCATTATGTTCAGACTGATCATTATATTCCAGCCTAGAGTTGGTTCGATTGTAGAGCATTTGCAAAATCTGCTTCATGTTCAGAATGTCAAAAGATTGTTACATCAATTGTAAATAAATGTATTTGATCAAAATGTTGGTACCTTGTTGGGGTGACCTTGTCAAATTATATACCATATCCCAGAAATTGAGTGAGAGAAAAGTCCAGTTTCCAGTGTATTAAAGTGCATTTTCAGTTATTCAATCAGTTGTCAGTTGAGATTTATTTACTGTTTCTACCTGCTTGCAAGCATTTTGAATGTCTCCTTGGACCACTTCTGCTTGGTTTTCTTCACACTCTACATGTCAAGTCAAGTCACCTTTATTTATATAGTGCTTTATACAATACTAGTTGTGCCAAATCAGCTTTACAGTGTTAAACAGGAAAATAGTGTGTAAGAAGACAATAGTAAACAGTCAAATTTTTCAGTTAAAGTCAGTTCATCATTGATTCAGTAATGTCATCGTCCAGCGCAGTTCAGTTCTCTTCAAATAGTGTCTGTGCAATCAAGTTGACAATATTGCCAGAAATTAAGTGGCAAGGAACCAAAACTCCATCAATGACAGAAATGGAGAAAAAAACCTTGAGAGAAGCCAGGCTCAGTCGGGGAGCCAGTTCTCCCCTGGCCAGATGAAACCAACATGGTGTGATTTATTTCCATGCTGCAGCACAAGTCAGACTGAGCAGAGGACTCGTCTGGCTCTTGTAGCCTTTGCTGAGGAATTGTACCGATGGCCGACAAGGTCTTAACATGGGATCTGTCTCTGGGGCTCATCTAGTTGACATGGTCTTAGCTGACATTCAGGGCTGTATAGGTCGTCTCTAGGTGCTGATCCACCATCTGGTCTGGATATGGACTGGTTCTGGGTGACTGAAGTGACCATCTGATCTGGATACAGACTGGATCGGTATGGCTATGGTGACCATAAGAATGAAACTAATATTAGTGTAGATGCCATTCTTCTTATGATGTAGCGAGTACATTGGTTGTTATGGGAAGTGTTCCTGGTTCTGGTTGACCTAATTAATGCAGCCTAACAATCCTTTAACGGATTTGAATTATAGAAATGTGATAGTGTATTATGTGTGTAATACAATAGTGCTTTGAAAACTGCATCGGAGACTCGTTATCAATCGTCCCATCACTAATAGGATTCACGTTTTTGTTTAATAAACTACACTTGGGTTCAGTTCAGCTCGCCTATGTTACAGAAACACTAGACCCACGTTACATACAGGTGCATCTTAATAAATTAGAATGTTGTGGAAAAGTTAATTTATTTCAGTAATTCAACTCAAATTGTGAAACTCGTGTATTCAATAAATGTAATGCACACAGACTGAAGTAGTTTAAGTCTTTGGTTATTTTAATTGTGATGATTTTGGCTCACATTTAACAAAAACCCACCAATTCACTATCTCAACAAATTAGAATATGGTACCTAGTGGGAGGCAGACACTCTTGTCAGTTCAAATTTAGATTAAAGACCCATCTCTATTTGTACTTGACTGATGTTTTCATGTGTTGAGCGAAAACGTTCTCATAACAACGTTCTTGTAATGTCTTTATGATGTTATTTGTACTTGACTGATGTTCTCATATGTTGAACAAAAACGTTCTAATAACAATGTTCTTGTAAAAATGCAAAAATCATGATATATTCTATGTCTACAGCTAAAGCTGAAATCAATCCTACTCCCAAGGAACATCTGGGTGAGCTGCTAAGCTCAGATATTTCCCTACACACAGATGGCTTTGCAGGGTAATGATCAAAAGTTATCAGTTATCATTCATTAATTAGACACTGATTCCTAGTGGTGTGGATGTAGCAACATGCAAAACCAATAGTACCCCTGCCACTCTATAATTTTGTTACTTGCAGTCAGCCATGATTTTATTCCTGGTTACTGAAATAAAGTGAGTATTATTCGATGATTATGTGATCTCAGAATGCCAGTCTTCTTGAGACAACCCACTTAGTTTAAAATAAAACAGCTTTTTTTTAGGCTACTGAAATAACTGCAATTTTAATCTAGGTAATTGTGCATGAACACCATAAAAACAGCCCATGTGCTATATATTCCAAGGTGTCTAAAATCATATGATAGATAGCTTTGTGTGAGAATTCAAGTTGTCAAATTCACTGGAGGTTCACTAAATATTTTCATTTTTGGGTTCTTCCTGCTTCTCTCTGCTGAAGGTTGACTTTCCTCCTGCTTACAGAGTGACAAAGGATCATTTTGTCTTTCATGGAATCAACACAGATCTTTTCCAGTGTGGCACTGAGATGAAGAGTAAGATAGTAAGTGCCCTGCCATGGGCATTTGACTTGAAAATAAACAGGAAAGAGCAAAAGTATGAAATGAACTTAACTCCAATCAAAGTTATTTTCAGTCAAGTACGTTTTCCATGATTTCTACAGCACCATTGTGATATGTAATAAGGTGTCACCAAATATCCTGATGATTTCTCACTCTACATCCAACAGTTCTAATGTGTTCTCTGTTTTGAGAAACATTGAGGATCCATCCTTATTCAAAATAACTCCTATGATGCCTGAGACAGAGGACTCCCAACAGGGTCTGCCACTGGCCAGTATTTTACCCACCTCAAGGGATGATAAGGTACAACAGCCTTCACAATACCATATTGCCAAAATGGAGATGTTTGGAAAATCCTGCAAACTAAACGGCTGTGTTTTCTGCAGCAGACAGAGGATTCTGAGGTGAAATTCAGGCAATGCGCTGATGCCAAGATCCCGCTTTTCATATCAACTAGAACCAGGTACTAGAAACTTGACTTAATTTTTTATATAATCCAAAAATTCGATTGAAATATTCCTGCCAGTAACTTGTTAATTGTTTTAAAGCTGAGGGTGCTTTGAAAAAACCCCATTGAAAAAAAATCAGATTCAGGTCATTGCTGGCAGAAAAAACCCTCCAGGAGTCAGTGAAATGATGAATCTCAGCCACAGAGTATTCAAGGTACCATGACTCAGCCATTACTCTTCATCAGTTATAAGGGGCTGATTATGTATTGTGTTATGTATAATTGGACAGACAGACTGTAGCTTGATTACTACTGCACATACTGTAATGCACTATAAAGTCTTTATTCAGTCGACCCAGAGCTTTGTTTTAAAACTGCTGGTAAACGAATTCAAATACAAATGATTTTATAGAATACAGCTATACTCCTTATTTGTAGAGGGAAAACAAGTGAGCAGCAGTGAATTTGCCATGCAAATGTAACTTGACATGATCTACAGAATAACTATCCAGGAATTACTCAATCATTTTATTCAAGCTCTATCATTCTCTCTATGCTGTAGGATTTAGATGCCACTCCAGAAAGTGTAGTCACAGAAAAAGCACTTGGTCTAAGTCCGCCAGCAAATCCCCTGGCCTATGAAGGTGTAGCCTTTTATCTGCCAACAGCCCAAAGAGACAATATTCAACCCTGACAATAAATCTATTTTCACATAACGTTCCCTCAGAATTCAAGAGTATGTGCCTGGCATTTCTTATATAATGGGTTTCTACCAGAAATATGAGAAAAATCCAGAACGGCAGGCAGCTGTCACTGTTGTTGCATCCTCACCAGAGACCTTTGACATGAGAGTGAAAATTCTAGAGGTTGTTGTCTTAAGAACACATCATATATCTTTTCTAATTCAAATATGTCTTATTGCCTTCCTGCTTTTGTAGGCTGATACAATGCTATTTTGTCCACTTTAGCGAACTATCTACAAAAAGGCAATTCCCTCACCAATCGATCTTGTGGGGTTTGAAGCTGTGAACTTAACCATATCAACCTAACAGGTTAATTTATGAACTATGGATCAGAAAACTGTGCCTGGTCTTGTGTATTTGCGTAAACTCAGTATCTTACTGTTTTTCTCTTTACAGGCTGGTGTTACAGAGCACTTCTGGAAGAACAAACCGGCAACATCGTAAAATGGATCATCAAATGTTCTGAATCATTTGAATATTCCTGACATTTTATTAATGACTGATATGGATATTCAAAGATGTTTGATTAAAAAATATTAATTTTGAATTAAATGTCAAATGAATGAAGTGTGCATCAAGAGTTCAATGTGACAGTTATTCATTATGTTCAGACTGATCATTATATTCCAGCCTAGAGTTGGTTCGATTGTAGAGCATTTGCAAAATCTGCTTCATGTTCAGAATGTCAAAAGATTGTTACATCAATTGTAAATAAATGTATTTGATCAAAATGTTGGTACCTTGTTGGGGTGACCTTGTCAAATTATATACCATATCCCAGAAATTGAGTGAGAGAAAAGTCCAGTTTCCAGTGTATTAAAGTGCATTTTCAGTTATTCAATCAGTTGTCAGTTGAGATTTATTTACTGTTTCTACCTGCTTGCAAGCATTTTGAATGTCTCCTTGGACCACTTCTGCTTGGTTTTCTTCACACTCTACATGTCAAGTCAAGTCACCTTTATTTATATAGTGCTTTATACAATACTAGTTGTGCCAAATCAGCTTTACAGTGTTAAACAGGAAAATAGTGTGTAAGAAGACAATAGTAAACAGTCAAATTTTTCAGTTAAAGTCAGTTCATCATTGATTCAGTAATGTCATCGTCCAGCGCAGTTCAGTTCTCTTCAAATAGTGTCTGTGCAATCAAGTTGACAATATTGCCAGAAATTAAGTGGCAAGGAACCAAAACTCCATCAATGACAGAAATGGAGAAAAAAACCTTGAGAGAAGCCAGGCTCAGTCGGGGAGCCAGTTCTCCCCTGGCCAGATGAAACCAACATGGTGTGATTTATTTCCATGCT